CTCTCTCTCTCTCTCCCTCTCTCTCTCTCTCTCTCTATCTATATTGAGTTTTTTTTTTAACGTTTGGGGGTGGGGGTGGTTAATTCAGGCGGAAAGGATGAAAGGGGACGATCTCTACTCTCAATCTGTTGCTTGAGAAGGCGCTAGCATTTGAGGAAAGCAGTTTATTGCCTTATTCCATACTATACCCCCAATATATACCTGATTATACTCTAGTAGCTTCCATTTTNNCATTTTCTTTTCCATTATCCCTTGAGAACCCCAGGATATTCCCATATTCTCTACTACCCGCTTATTCCCAGCAAGTATTAGACGTCCACGGCTGCACATGCTGCACAAGGAAAACCAACCTGGACACAATTTTGCTCACTTGCTTTCTGAGATTGTGGTTACCGTTCTACAACAGCACTGGGCTTTGAAAAGTCCTTGTTTCAGCTTCCTGCAGTAACGGCCCTAGTAAACCCTAAACACTAAGCCCACTTACTGTGGGTATAAGGCAGCCCTACAGTTCGAGAGATGCAAAAATCTTGTTTCCCTGGAAGTGACAGGAGCTCTTAATGCTAGAGCCCCCGCAAGAAACATCGTGATTTTTTCGCATCCCTATGGAGCCTACAGCGCCCCACCCCCCAAACCCTGCACCGTGAGTGTTCAGTTTTGGGGGAGGGGACCAATTCCGTCATAATCTCTACATATCCCTAGACCCTGAAGAGTGTGTCCCCATGTAGAGTTGTCAGGATCGGGTTGTATCGCATCTTAACTCCCTAAACGACAATCCTAAGATGAGTAGTATTTTATTTGGGGATACTATGGTACCCAATATAGAGTAAGATTATATCTTCCTTTTGGGGTATAGCATTTCATATAGGGAATATAATCTCACTGGGTTTAACCAACCAAAAAAACGCTACTCAGATAGGCTCCTGCCCCGTGGATCTGACATGCTGCCTGAAGATGACAACTTAGGGTTTAGGGTTTAGGGTTTAGGGTTTAGGGTTAGGGTTTAGGGTTTAGGGCTAGGGTTTAGGGTTCACGTTTCTCACAGTCTCCGCCCGCAAAATCAACATGCGCTTCCCTCTGACATGAGATCCTGTGCACTCGAGTTTGCTCATTTAAGTCCAGATATGGAAGTTTCTAAAAGACAATCCCAGCATATTCGTAGCATAATTCATCCCAATATAACCCCAATATAATCCCAATACAATCCCGAATAAGGACCGCGAAAATCCCGCTATTATCCCTATGCATCCCCGGCTTTTCTGAGGGCCCCCCTTTTGAGAAATCCCCATATTGGATCCCGGGCTCCCGTAGCCTCAGCCCGAAATCCCTAAACCCCTAAACACTCAACCCTCAACCCTAAACCCGTGAACCCTAAATCCTTCCAAGGTCTGGATAATTTTCCCAGCCTACGTCTTCTGGCGCGCGCTGAGCACTCCCAGGACAGAGTTTAGGGTTTAGGGTTTAGGGGATTTTGAGGGTTATATAGAGATAATGGAAAATATCGTGGAAACTGCTATTCAGGGTTTAGGGTTGAGGAGCTAGGGTTCAAGGTTTAGGTTGCAGGGTTTGATGGAATACTACAGTTTAGGGTTAGAGGGTCAGGGTTTAGGGTTTAGCGTTGAGCTCCGTTGGATGTAGGAAACCTTGCAACGCCTCTATAAGCCTTAAAGTAGGAATCATCGAGAAAGGCTTAGGGTTGAGGGCTTGGGTTTAGGGTTTAGGGTTCCAGTATTGTCTGGGGTGCTTGAAACTTGAAACCACACTGGTGGCTACCTCAGACTGCACTCCCTGCCCCAAGGCTGCCCCAGACTTAGGGCAATGTAGGAATACTTTCAGCTAATCAAGACTACTTGAGGGGACATGTAGGGCATGATACATGACCCTTTAAGGCATCATGGGGTCTCGGTTGAAGGTAATGCTGCTTGGGGGTCCATGATAGTTACAGGTAGGCGTATCATCACCCTAAACCCTATACCCTAATGGTATCTGAATTCATGGAACTTACAGCCCGACTTGCAGCGTGCATCTACCCAATATATAGCCGCAATCGCTCTACATACTACATACCCCTGACACAAACTCCGCAAGTGGGGTATCTCCCCTCCTGTAATTGTCTTAGATCAGGTAGGGTTCATGCTATGCGACAAAGGCAGGAGCTCTGAACTTTGCGCGTGAGAAAGTCTTAATCGCGGTTCCTCCCTCAAAATGTATCGTATGAGAGTCATCTGATAGCCATGGGGTCACATTTTGGTGGTTGACCGGGTTGGGGTTCCCGAAATCCTTGATTTTGAGCCACAGCCGTTGCGACCATCGAAATCATCCCAGATGAGGTTAGTTCGGGAACTCTGAGCAAGAGGCTCTAGGGGGTAGGGTTTAGGGTTCAGGGTTTAATGCGAAATCGAATGGAAAAGAACATGGACAATGCACTGGCTACTACTCGTTAGAGTTTGTGGTTTTAGGGTTTAGGTTCGGCGTGTTGGACTGGGCAGTCCGAGCAAGACGAGCGGGGCAGCAAATCAAGAGCCGTGCATGACCTCAAGAAAATGGTTCACTGGGTGGCACTTTGCAAAATCAGAAATTTCCAGTTGTTTCAGGGAACCTATTCATTGGTAACTTTGGGGGCCTTTGAAGTAGCACCCAGTTGAGGGTCTAGCCATTCCCCTGAAGCTACAGCCAAAGTCTTTCTCGCCCTCAAGCCCTGAAGACTAAACCCCAAGCCCTACAGCCTAAAGCCTACTGGTGATTAGTAGGGAACAAGGGAATATAATCCCAAAATCCTTGATGTATAGTCCCTCTATACACCCTAAACTCCCTAAACCCTAAACCCTAAACTCCCTAAACCCTAAACTCCCTAAACCCTAAACCCCGTAAACCCTAAACCCTAAACCCTAAACTCCCTAAACCC